CTTGATTATTCAAACAACCCTAAACCTTTGAATCTGCAAGATGTTCAAAAGACCCATGTCGAGGAGAATAGCATGGAACCGACGGCGCAACCAAAAGCACAACCCCGGCTTGATTATTCAAACAACCCTAAACCTTTGAATCTACAAGATGTTCAAAAGCCCCGTGTCTAGGAGAATAACATGGAACCGACGGCGCAACCGAAAGCACAACCCCAAATTTTACAAAAGATGAGTTCTAATGAAACAACAATTTGTACAACAGTAAAAGACTTTAGTTTTTGACTTGTGGAAGGGATTGTGGGTAATGGAAATGGGCTTAAGCACATATTAATGATGGGAAAATTTTTATAGATTATGTTTGGAGTTTTTCAAGTAATTTTAAAGGCTTTATGATTACCAAGGGAACTCGAAAACAAGGCTATGACTTGTTACAAGAAGTGATTGGCTAGAAATCTAGGGTCCGTTTGGGGTAGCTTATTTGGTGCGGTCGCGTTTTGATAATACACTGGGCTAGGATTCAATACGAAATAATTAGGATTTGAAACAAAATATGATATAATCATGCACAACAACCCTTCAAAATGAGTTATGATCGACCGCTCTAAGTGAAAATTACATATTTGAATAAATTTTATATAAAATAATCAATTTATATTAACCTTAAATCGTTCTTCCATTATGATTGCAAATCTAAATTTAAAATTTAAAGGGGTTGACATTTGAATTTTTTTTTTTCAAAGGACTTTACAGGCCCGCAAACACATTATAAATCTATGAACTTTCACATCATATTTCTACAATATAAAGCAAAATGAATTTTTATAATTAAATGTCTTCATCCTGTTCCTGTTGACTGAATCCCATTGATTAGACGCATTCTCCTTAAGACTGGCTCTTATGATTGGTCATTTCTCATCTGGTTGATATATGCTGCCAAATCACTTATACTTGGTGCACTCATAATTAAATTATATTGATTAATTCTAAATAATAAAAAATTATAAGTATATCGTTATAGATTCAAATATATATATATATATATATATATAT